GCCCGGCGGAGACAGCGCCGCGCAGCCCGGCGGGATCCGCGCCTCGCCGGGAGGCCGTGCCTGGGTGCCCGCCGTGTGTCCTGCCCGGGACCCTGGTCCCCGGTGCCCTGTAGCTCAGAGAGCGGGGGCGGAGAACGCCCCCTTCTACCCCGAGGGAGGGAGTCGGCGTCTCCGCCGCGGACACCCCCTGCCCCGCAGTACCCGTGTGCCCGGGGGCGTTGTCTCCGCTCACGGTGCAGGTGTTGAACTGCGGCGGGAGCAAGAAACGCTCCCGGGCATCCAGCCCGCCGGCCGTTCCCTCCGCTGGCATCCCCGGGGGACGCAGCACGCAGCGGTGTTCAAAACCCTGATGCCGACTTCCAGCCCTAAAGCGGGTGAAACTTTCAGGCTTGCAGAACGCCCAGCCCCGACCCTGGGGAGAAGGGACACGGCTGCGCCTTCCCTGAAGTCCCGCATCTTCGGTTAGCCGCCTGGTCCGCTCTCTGTTCCTCCTGATGGGTGCAAAGAACATGGAAATCCCCGGGATTTTCACCAGCTTGGCAGTGTTAGCGAGTGGGCCAAACGTGGGAGCCCCTCATTTCCAGACCGTGGTTTCCTGGAGCTCTAGCAGGGAGCGCTTTCCAGCTGGAGCTCCCCGCTGCACCTCGATTCCGTGATGGGCAGCATGACCTTTCCTTCCAGGGTCCTCCTGCTTTTTGGCTCTGCATCCTCTTCTAAAGAGTGATTCCTGCAGGCCGAAGTGCAGCGCCCTTCAGATCCTTCTTGACCAGCAGATGGCACAAACAGTACAGGAATTTACGGCGGATTGCTGTGCTGTCTTAAACCAGTAACCACCGTGTTCTTAGAAATCTGAATGACTACAAATTGTGTAAGGTTCAGCTTGCGATGCCTTGCTGTAGCGCAGAATAAGCTGCAGAACTATGGCTATATTAATTTCGAAGTGTTTATTGCATATAACATTTTTTTTTAAAAAGCTACTGACGGTAAGAGATGAAAGAAAAGGTATTTTTCACCATCTGTAATTGTTGTCTTGCAGAGGTCATGTGGATCACCAGGATAAGAATTGAATTTGTTTTGCCAGAGCTTCAGAATATGAACCATGTGATCTTGTCCTGACTTTCACGGACTGGATAACAGGTCTGGCCACTGCTTACTAAATTGAAAGGATAACCGCCATCCCCATCAGCTGCATTTGAAAATAAACTGAACCATCCTCAGCGAGAAAGGCTTTTGGTACAAAACTCCACGGGAACTCAGTTCAAGACTGAATTTTAAGCAGGTAGAAGTTCCTTACTGCAACTCAGTGTAATTTAGGTTCTGGACATATTTTCTTCCTGACTACCTTGTATTGTGTCTGCAGAATATATTTTTAAGTAGACAGGGGTTTGCCCTTCCTAATCTGTGCTGATTTATATGTATGTGACTAGGTTTACTGTTTGGATCCAGATTTAACCCAGGTGGTGCTCCTTTCTGGAATATGGTCATTGTGCAGATAGAGTGAATTAAAAATCTGGGCAGGAGGGAGCTGACACTAATACTTACACTGAGGGAGGAGAAAATTATGTCTTTTGGACATGGCAAGGTCCACATGTTCCTATCTTAACCAGTAGTGCTAGGACCATTGCTATTTTGCTTTCACCCATGTCATCACGCCTCCAGCTCTGCCGAGAATTAGAACCTGGAAACCCTGGTCTGGTAGAACCCTAAATAAAGAGCTCACCTCAGTGTCCATGTTGGGTCCTGGCTGACTTGGCAAGTCTTCGTGAAATTGCATTAGTGTGGCACGAGGCCGAAATTGAGAAGTTATGTTAGATCCCACTGAGCAGAATATATTGGCTATGTCAATTGGCTATTACCAGTGTGGCACACAAGGAAAACTTTGTTGTGTTTGCAGATAAATGATGATCTTGCATCTGTGTAAACAGGTGTCATGGCATTATGTATAGGAATTCAGAAATTCCAGATTTCATTAGGTGGCAAAGTATCATGTGCTCCAATATTGCTTTGTCGCAGTATCTTGTAAAAGATGTTGCTTAGAGTTAGGAAAGAAGTGTGCTTCTCTGGAAATTTCAAAACATGTTTTATGAGCTTCTTTCTTTTTGTCTTGTTTTTTCTTCAAGCTGCAATTGTGGAAAGTCACAAAAAAGAAGACTCAGAAGGCAATAATGGTAATTTTATTGTGACAGGTCTAGACAGTAGTTTAAACCACTAAGTCATGTTAATAGTTTTTCTCTGAAGTTTGACATTTCTTAGATATCATATGAATTCCCCCTGGTGCATGTCTCATTTCTGTCCAGTAGATTCATTCCTAATTGCTTGACTTATCAGGCAATCGTTACTAACAATAGGATATTCTCAAATGGTTATTGAGTTGTTGTCAAAATGTCTCAAATTCGCTACATATGATCTTGCAGAAAGGTTTGTAGGGAATCATATTTTAGGTTAGCAAAGCCTTTATAGAGCTGAGTAAGTCCATATTAGATACTCTGAATTTATCTCTGAAGATGAATTTTTTTAATGGGCTGCCAATGTCAGTATTTTATCTCCCAGAATCAATTCATCATTAAAGCCAAATTAAAAATCTTTGCTCCTGCTTACCTTTAACTAACTTGTGTTGATTAACAATGTAACACAAAAGTAGTCATTGATTTCGGTTGTATCATTTCAGGTAGATGGTGGTAATTTATACAAAAGGTATCAAAATCCCATACAGAAAAGATCATGAAACAAAAGTGTGTAGTCATTTTTGGATACTAGAGTTGTGGTACACAGCTGAGTTAAGGCAGACAGGTTTTATTTTCAGAAAGCAGAATCTCTGAAAAAATGCTTTTTTGATGTCTTAGGTTGGACGTGAAAAAAAACACTACTTATGTAATTTATGAACATCTGTACCATTAAGCTAAAAGTTTTGAACTAGAAAACTAGAGCTTTTATTGCTTACAGCCAGAAACTGGAAAACATTTGAGAGCTGTCTTCATTTTTAACAGATTATAATTTTCCCTGTTGGATCAAAGTTATCTGTCAGACAGGAATAAGTTCTGGATAGGGACTTGGTTTAAGATCAAGTATCAAGATAGATATAAGTTTTTTTTCAAATGGGTCTAACTTATGCAAGAAAAAAATCTGTATATGTATGCAAGTGATGGATACAAATGTATCTGCAGAAATAATCAATTTTTCTAATTTGAGTCATATAATTCTGAAATCTGGACTTTGGCAGAGAAAAGTTACCCACTCCTGAACTGATGTAAATGGTGTAGATACAGATATATCCAGATATATCACATAGAGAACAAATGACTTGATTTATAGAACATGTTAATGTTAACGGCGGTTAGAAATTGCTGGTGCCAGTCATATCTCCATAGGGTATCATTGAATATCACTGAATCTGTGAGGGAATTTAAAGTATGGCTTTGAGTTTAAGACAAGGAGAGTAAGATACCTGTGTTTGGAGAAAGCAAGGTAGGCTATCATAACCACCGTTCTTTAGGGTTTTTGTTTAATACTGCTTTCAAATAACATCTCCCTTGTGTCATACGGAGGTATTGTCTCAGTTACAACTGGCGGCATCAACACTTTGTGTAGTGTGTGGAATACAGCTGGATTCAAATCACATTTGTGAGTTTTTTAGGAAATTTCTCATTTACCCTGTATTTTACAACTGAAGCTATTCAGTGTATCAATCGTAAATGCAGATGGACATTCACCTGAATGTGTTCCAAATCAAATCCAGTGCAGATCTGCAGCTGGGATGAGAAAGTAGAGATGAGTTGAATTGCATTTCATAGGAGACCTTGTAGATTTTGCCTAGTTCTCATGGATTTTCTGGAACTTACAACTGCTCAGGTGTTTCTGAGAAGCAGTTTAGTATCTCAAAGTGTTAGGCCATCACCATTGCTCTTATTGGTTCATTAAAGGAAAGCCAATATTCTAGAGTTGGAATAATCTGGATCATGCCAGGGTAAGGAACTGAAACCATTTTAATTGTTCTAATGAATGATCTCATCTTTTATACACATAGAAGACAAAAGTCTAGTCTCACTCTTTTAGACCTTTCTGCAGAGTTTAGCATGGTTGATCATGAAAGCCTGGTGTGTCATATGAGCTGGATGGCAGGAGTCCAGGTTACTGTACTAGTCTGGGCCCTTCCTGAAGCGATGCATCCAACAGATAGTGATGATCATCTGCATGCCTACTCCACTTGATCCTTAATGGCTGGAAACCCACAAAAATCAATTACTTTGTGTCCTTTTCTAGCAAAGGAGTGCAACCACATTAGCAGCTGGACTCAGAGGCTAGCCATTTGCAGGTAATACCTGTCTGTCTGTATTCGTTACCATCTGTGACTACATCATTAACTCTGCTACTACCAAGGTGATCTAATTGTGTGAAATTAGCTTAATTAAACTGAGGTGAGCTATATAGAATGTGACTATAGCTAGATTATGTGACATTTATAAGCAAAAAATCTTCAGTGTTTAGGAAATGCCACCTAGTATAAAATGCTGTAGTTCTTCCCTGCAGTAAGAGGAATTATGGATTGGTTTGCCACAGAAATTTATGCTAAGGTCAGTATTTTGGTCCTCATCTCCAAAATACATCATCACTAGGGCCCAGTTTATCTGAAATATTGCTTAAATCTCTCTGAAATGAAGAAGACAGTTGCAACTGTAGAATCACAGAATGGTTGAGGTTGCAAGGCACCTCTGGGGATTGCCTAGTCCAACTCCCATGCTCAAGCAGGATCAACTAGAGCAGGTTACTGTTCACTCAAGTTTTGAGTGTCTTCAGGGATGGAGACTACACAGAAGACTCTGTCTTCTTTACTCCCTCCTATCAGGTATTGATACACATTGAACCTTCTCTTCTCCAGGCTGAACAGTCCCAGCTTTCTCAGTTTCATCTTGTATGCCAGGTGCTCCAATCCCTTTATCATCTTTGTGGCCATTTGCTGAACTCACTTCAGTATGTCCATGTCCTTATATTAGGGAGCCCAGAGCTGGACACAGTACTCCACATGGGTCTCACCAGTGCTGAGTAGAGGGAAGGATCGCTCCCCTGTAGTTTGTCACAGTTGTCACAGTGGGATTTTCTGTTATAATTGCATAACTCTTTTTTTTTTTTTTTAAGAAAACTGTGCCATTTTGAAGAGAAATATATAGTCAATTTATAGCTAACACCTACACACTACAAACAAAAAAATCCTCTAGGAAAACAAGGTGCTATACACATTTTTATCCTCACAGAGGCAATGAGAGAACAAGTAATACACAATACAAGAGAAGTGCATAATTTGCAATGTGCTACTGGCAGGCAGGAGGGTACCATGAGGATAACTGTAGTGTAAAAGCATGCATGGCACACACAGCTGAATAGTTAAGGTTCTATTTTATTGTATTTTAGCAATGCAGAAGAAGTTGTTTATAACATTTGTAATTTAAACTTACAAAATATTTTTGGGGTACTTAGAAGCTGCTTTTCTGAATTG